ACAGGATCCTGATTCAAAGTATCAGATGGGATGACCTCAAACTGATGGCAATTCTCCTGCCTCAATCTTCCCTGTGTTTAGATTACAGAAATGAGACACAGACACACCAAGCTTTGAAAATGTTCTTAGGAATGGCTTTCCTTGCTTGCTTTTGAAACTAGTTAGACATTTATGTTAGAGGGGAATGTAAAACTGTGGATGGGTGCCCTATGATTAAAATATTTTTCATGAATCTATCCATAAGTATTTTCAGGGCTCTTACTATATCTGATATTAGGTACTATGGATACAAAAACAGTTTAGGCTAGCTTCTTGACAAACAGCATTATACATACCCTTGTCTTGTGATTTAATTCAGGTGCCATGGTCTCTAATCTCCCTGTAGTAAAGTCAACGGGGGATCTATTTTGATCTTACAGTGTCCCTATATAGTAGACAGGACAAATATTCATTTCCTATCCTCGCAGACAAGAAACGACCTCAGCAATAGTGTGTAGTAAGGGGGTCACAGACAATGGGGGACAAAATTAGAAGCTGCACCGATTCTGCCAAGTTCTCAGGTAGTTCTTATCTGAGATGAAGCACTCCCTCTTCTACCTTGTCTTCCAACTTCCAGGCCGGCTGCTACCTCCCAGACTTCACAGTGAAATGCTGACACCCTTAACCCCCATCTTATCATTTTATTTCCCTAAACACCACTACAGCACAAATAGAACAACACTTAGAAATATTTGCTTTAAAAACTATAGGAAAACAGTCCTGAATTTTGCATACAAATGGATGGAAATAGAAAACACTATCCTGAGTGAGGTAAGCCAGACCCAAAAAGAGGAACATGGGATGTACTCACTCATATTTGGTTTCTAGCCATAAATAAAGGACATTGAGCTTATAATTCATGTTCCTAGAGAAGCTAAATAAGAAGGTGAATCCAAAGGCAAACACATAGGCATCCTCATGAATATTAACCTTCATCGATGAAAGGAGACAGAGACAGAGACCCACATTGGAGCACCGGACAGAAATCTCAAGGTCCAAATCAGGAGCAGAAGGAGACGGAGCACGAGTAAGGAACTCAGGACGGCGAGGGGTGCACCCACACACTGAGACAATGGGGATGTTCTATCAGGAACTCACCAAGGCCAGCTGGCCTAGGTCTGAAAAAGCATGGGATAGATCCGGACTAGCTGAACATAGCGGACAATGAGGAATACTGAGAACTCAAGAACAATTGCAGTGAGAACTCAAGAACAATTGCAGTGGGTTTTTGATCCTACTGCACGTACTGGCTTTGGGGGAGCCTAGGTAGTTTGGATGCTCACCTTAGGAGACCTGGATAGAGGTGGGCGGTCCTTGGGCTTCCCACAGGTCAGGGAACCCTCTTAGAGCAGATGAGAGAGGGGGACTTGATCGGGGGAGGGGGAGGGAAATGGGAAGCGGTTGCAGGGAGGAGGCAGAAATCCTTAATAAATAAATAAATTAAAAAAAATAAAAAATAAAAAAAATAAATAAAAAAACTATAGGAAAACAAAACTAAAGGTATTAAACAATGAACTCAGTTGCCTACAGATCTGACTTATAAGGCAGATTCTTCTGACTGGGTAGATGTCCTGCATCTGGGAGTCCTCCTGTGTCTCCTACCCAACCTAGGAGGGGCCTTTCCTATACTTGGAGAATTCTCTTGTCTGTCTTGGGACCTTCCTGTTTCCTCCCTTGGGAGATGTTTCAAATTGAAACTGTTCATTTTGTTAACAGAATACCCCCAGTGAAAGCATGTATCATATTACTAGCTGTGTATCACATCGTTATCACTGTTCATCCAACAGAATCCATGTCCGGAAAAGGAGAACACAGTCCAGCACATCCTATGGGAACCTGCTGTGACCACACACTCTGAAAAGAGAAAAGCATCTAGAATATGCAGTATTGAACCTGTTGACCAAGTGGTCTCTTCCTCTTTCAATATTTATAATCTTTTCCAGCCCTCCGCCAACTTATTTCCCAGGATGTACAGCGGTTTCATAGCTCTTGGTTTTCTGTGTATAAAAGTCTCTGTACACTTCCAGGCTTTCCTTCAAGTGGTTCCATTTGCTCACAGGGGAAAAAAAGATAACAAGGAAGACGATGAAAGAATTACTGACTTTAAGCACAGAAACCATGTGCGTTGAGTTGTTGCTCTGTTTCCTAGCTGTCTGATCTTGACCAAGACACTTGGCAATCTGAGACAGTGTCTTTGCCTGTGTAGAAACAACAGGTATCAGTGACTGAGCATCACATGCTAAAACATTGTGTCTTGTTTGACGTGCTGTTTCAGTCTTTATCACATCCCTATGAAGTGGATACTATTACCATCGACATTTGGAAGGCAAGCAAAAGCAGGTTAACTTGCCAGAGACTACTAGGTAGGGGATGGTGAAGCCAGGGGGATGGTGAAGCCAGGATTCAAAGACAGGCAATGAGACTCCCAAAGCCATGTTTATAATCAATACCTTCTTCATTACCACGTTTAATAGCTAACTGAATTAATATAAGTCAGTCCTTGCATAGCACCTGGCACAGTAGCAAGTCCTAAGTAAATCTTCGCTGGTTTATCATGTTTAGCTTTGTTACTAAGAGACACATGGGCCAGAAAATAGGTTTTGACGAAGATTTATGTCTATATTAGCTAGGTTTCTTTCAGCTGTACTGGCAAGGCCTCTGGAGTTACCTAAACAATCTAGATATTATGGGCCACCTGGCTGAAACGTAGGTCGAATAGTTGGTGAAATGTCTCTTACGTATTACAAAAACAGACAAAGTCCCCAGCCTGGAAAAGAGCATGAAGCCCCACATAAAAGCAAGCATAGTGAGCGGCCTTCAGCACAGTCGCAGACCTTGCTGCTGAGATCATCACCTTCCAGCTGTTTATAAACACCAAATGCGGAGAGATGAGGCTGTAAAGGTGGTCATGCCCTGTGTCTATTGGCAAAGGTCTACTGGTCCGTTTGAAAGCACAGTGATATGTCATGCTATTAGTACCAGGGCAGGTGTAGGAACAACACCTCATGAGATATAAAAATAGGAAAAGAAAAAAAGGGAAGAACAAAAGTATATTTCCAGGTTCTGGAGAAATTTGAAATACTGTATATTCTCTATTGCTGCAAAAAATTCCAAAATGTATCCAAAAAATAGCAGACATTCCTTATCTCACGCAGTCTCTGTATCATCTGCAAGCGGCCTTGTTGGGTAGTTCTGGATCAGGATGCCTCACGAAGCTTCAGTTGTCCAGAGTGGAGTCATCCAAAGGATTTACTAGGGCTTGAGGGTCCTCCGCTAGTGGTTCATTCACATGGCGGTTGTGGGGCTAAGCTCCTTCTCTTGTAGGCCTTTATGGTGCTGAATGAGTTCCTCATGAGGTAGTAGCTGTTTCCTCACAGTGCAAGAGACCCAAGGGTGACAATAGGAAGCAGATGCAATGCCTTTTATGACCTAGTCTGTATGTCACAGTCCCTCCTGCCATTTCTGTGCAGTACAGGTCATATGCCATCACTAAGTGCTGCCCACAAGCGAGAGGAAGGGAGCTGAACTCTCCTGAGGAGCGCGGCTGTCACAGAACTTAGGGACATACTGAAAATCACCAGTTTCTGCTGTCATCTAAGCACTGTCTCCAGAAGCCAGCAAGACAGGAGTCAAAACAAAACAGAATGCATAACCCAGCCCTCCTCAACGCAGCTTGCAGTAACTGTTCCCAAACAACCCATGCTTTTGTCTCCACTGTCCTGGAGCATCCATGGTCCTCCTTCCTTGAGGCTGTGTTCACAAGACTCTGATGACACTCCTGAAACATGGCAGACAATAAAACGCGCATTAAAATAAGACAACCACCTACTCCTAGAAGTTTGAAGCAGAGGGAGGAAAGGAAATCCCCAGTGAGCTCTCTCCTTTGGCTATGACCAGTGTCCTGATTGGTAATAATAGTATAGGTAATAGTCTTCCCTTCCTGCTTTAGGGATCATAGGGTGTGTAGTTCAGGTTCCCTAGCTTGCTGTCATGACTGCAGCTCTGGGAGAATTGTGTGGAAACTTAGAAAGGAGAGATGACCATGGAATACAGAAGTAGCCAGTGTGCTCACTCACACATGACTCTAAGGTGTCAACAGTCTCAGAACCAAATGCTTTCATGCGATTTCTATTGTATTTTTGTGACTTGTAATTTGGTAAGATATAAACTGTTTTTAAAATACAGTCTTTTTGAAAAACCAATAATAATAATAATACAGTCTTTGTAAACACCGGGAAAGTAGGAGCTTGCAGACCACCACTGGAAGGCTGGAGGTGTAGGTAGACCCCTGACCTAACAGGCGTGAGGCCCTGGGTTAGATCCCAGGAATCTCCAAAAGGGGAAAAATAGAAGTCAGGAATTTACACCTTAAAAGGAATTTTCTGACTGTTATCTTTAATCTTGTGCCTGGAGGACATTTGAGAATTTGACAAAAGATAAGGAAAAGAAGCTCACACAATTTTGGACAAGAAGCATAGCAGTGAACAACACAGAAGGAAGACACATTTGCTGAGAAACAGGAAACATAAGGCAAGCCAGAGAACTACCGACCATCATAGTCTTGTCCTAGTCATTTGACAAAACTAAACAAATTTTTATCAATTTGGCAAAAGAAAAGCTACCAAGATACCCACTTAGTTAGAGCGCCCTAAATGACGTTTCCATAACCAAGATCGGACCCGAGATTCCCCAGGCCCGTCTCCAGTGGAGGGAAATTGCGAGCAGAGACACCCAGCCCAGGAGGGGGACCTTTTCGCGACACACCCGAGGGCTCCGAGCGCACCGGACCTCGGAGGCGAGGGGCGGGGCTGGGAGGAGCGGGGGCGGGGGGCGTCGCGTGACCACGCCCCCTGCGCGCGCCCCCGAGTCGCGGGCGGCCTGCGTGTCCGCGCCGACCCCTCCCTCGCGCCTCACGGGCGGGCGCACGCGCCGCCTCGCGCAGGGGCCGGAGGAGGCCGGGCCTGTCAGACCCCGAGGCCGGCCTCCCCGAGCGGCGCGAGGCGGGCGGGCGAGCGCAGCGGCTGGAGCTCGGCCTCGATCCCGGTCCGGGACACAGCAGCGCCAGCCGTCTGGGAGGGGGATGTGCGGTGGTGGCGGCGGCGGCCCGGGGTAGCTGAGCGCCGCGGGATCCCCGAGCCACCCCGGAGCTGGCGCGCGGTCGGGGCGCGGCGGGCGGAGCGGGTCTAGTTCTCCTCATGATGGGCAGGGACGCGCGGAGCTGCCCTGAGGAGCCCGAGCGCCGGTGAAGGCGGAGCCGCCGGCCCTCCGCGGCCATGGCCGGCCCCGGCGCGTGGAAGCGCCTTAAATCCCTGCTCAGGAAGGACGACGCGCCGCTCTTCTTAAATGACACCAGCGCCTTTGACTTCTCGGACGAGGTGAGCGACGAGGGGCTTTCGCGCTTTAATAAACTTCGAGTCGTGGTGGCCGACGATGACTCGGAAGCCCAGGACAGGCCTGTGAACGGGGCGCACCCGGCCCTCCAGGCCGACGATGACTCCTTATTGGACCAGGACTTACCTTTGACCAACAGTCAGCTGAGTTTGAAGATGGACCCCTGTGACAACTGCAGCAAGCGGCGCGAGCTGCTCAAGCAGAGGAAGGTGAAGACCAGGCTGACCATTGCCGCCGTCCTCTACTTGCTGTTCATGATCGGAGAGCTCGTGGGTGAGTGCTGTCGCCGCCACCCTGGCCCTTGACTTTGTCCAGCTGGTAGCTACGCCTAACTTGAGGTGGGAACTTTGTTTTCAGGAAGCGAGTTAGGTGTGGAGAGACCTGTGCAGGGCTTGAACTGGCCACCCGATTCCAAAGTGCGGTTCCCTGGGCGTCCACAGAGAGCTTGCGGGGATATCTTGTAACAGGAGTGTGCCGTCTCCTTCCTGTAGGGTTTAGAATCAAACTTGATTGTGTATCGTGTAACTTCGCTTTTTACAGATTCTGATAGGACACCGGGTTGCTCTCGGAACATCTAAAATGACTCTAACATTGCTTAGAATCCGAATTGTGTACGATTAAGGGGCATTGCTGAAGACCATCTGTTTTCCCACATGGGGGTTCTGAAAGGGTTAACTTAGAAGGCCAACTTATTGGGGAATGGCAGAGCCATCTACAATACTACACTTTCTACAGTTGGCTTGTTTGATCGTTTTATATATATATCATTTACTTTATATAACCAAAGGCTTTACAGAATTCAATCCTGCCAACTAACTGGAAGTTTATTATTATAAGGACAATCTAAGTGAGCTCGAGGGCTCCTCCACAGTTGCGAGAGCTTGTTTTCCTTCTCATTTTTTGATTATTTCAGATAATAATTTCTCACTCTCGGGTTGGTAGTTTAGACCTTATTTTTGCTACTCCATTAGTTTACAGTCACCCTTCATATCCAATGTGGATTGGTTCCAGGAGTCCCCTCTACAAACCTGAATCTCGGGATGCCCCATCCAAAGGCACCTTATGTAAAGGTCCCTTGCATAAATGAAGCAGCCTGTTATTTGCATATGACCTACATAGGCACCCTTCTGTACTTTAAGTTATTCGGAAATTACTTCGACTACAAAATACCATTGTTCTGTATTGTTTAGAGAGCAAGTCTATGCATGGTGAGTCCTGAGGCATGGTGTTTTTCAGATGTTTTCCATCCATGGTTGGTGGGATCCACGGATGGAGTACTTGCATAAAGAGGGGACTGATGAACAACTTCTTAATGACAGATTAGGAAGTGACATTAGCGAGGGAGATGGCTCTCTCCTGGTGTCTCTTACAGTGAACTATGACAGCACGAGACCTGGCAACCCAGATTTCCAATGCTTGGGTGGAAGCTGTGTGTAGCAAATCATGTTTGTCCCCTACCTCATGCCATACCATGCTTCCTCAGAGTGAGCTCACCTATGATGATCCTCTTTCTTTCCTCAGGCCTGCCTTCCTCCTGCCCTTATGCTTTTCATATGAGTTGATCCCCCAATGTTTTTCAAACTTTTGTTGACTTCACTGCAATAAGAAATACACTGTAATAAGAAGCATTACACATGCAAACATAGGTACTTGCCTTAGGTGTGTGCCTATCCACAGATCTGAGCATAAATATGTGCCAGGCAAACACAAATCTTATAGGTTATATTCTAATGTCATCACTTATCTCTCATCGAAGTCCATGGCCCACTACCCGGCTAGATGTGGCTCATCACCCACCTTCCAGCTTTTTCAAGCCGGTTTACTTCTTTTCCATTACATGTGTGTATGGGGAGGATGAGCGTGTGCACATGACTGAGTGCGGGTGCCTAGAGGCAGCAGATCCCTGGAGCTGAGTTACAGGTGGCTGTGAACTCCCCCATGTGGGTGCTGGGAACAGAAACAAGAGTAGCAAGTGAGCTAACCACTGAGCTGCCTCTCCAGCCTCTGACCTCAGCTTTTATATCCCTGCCTTTCCCAGATCATCCCTTGGCTAGCTGTTAGTCGTCTCTCATTTCAAAAGACACCTCTGTAAGCCTCGTGTTTGACTGTCTGGAATAAACCTGTCGTTTTCCCACTTTTACTGTATTTACATGCCTTTTATTTTGCTGATGTATAAGCCGACTGCCTAATACCTCAAACAGTGAACGATACAAAGCAGACATAGTAAATGAACTTTTTTTGAATTTTTAATTACAGTTTTAATTTCTCCCATATTGTATACTGTTTATAATGAATGTTATTCATTATACACACCCATTCTTTCTCACTGGGAACCTTCTTCCCAACACGGGTCCCACTTTCATGTCATTTTAGGGTCTGTGATGCCCTCAATGATTTGTGAGCACTGGAGAAAAGTTACTTCGGAAGCATGGGCAGATGATCAGTGAGAACCCCGTGGAGAGAAGTGGCACCCTCTTCCCCCAGAAACCATTAGCTGTCAGTAGTCCCTCGGGGAGAGGTGAAACCATGAATTCCTTTCTCTTCCAGATAAAATATTGACAGGCCCAATCTTGTCGCAGTCTTGTTAAGGAATCATGGTGGCACCAAGTCCATAAGCACCGCAGCTGTGCCATATGCAGAAGGCATCTCCCCATCCTCCAGCTCTGAGCTCTTCCTTCCCTTCCTCCACGTGTTCCCTAAGCCTCAGAGGAGGCGATATAGATCTTCCATTTAGGGCTAAACACTCTGAATTATTTTTTTATGTTAGAGAATTCCAAATGTGTGAACTGTTAATGCAGAAATGGTAAGTTGTAGTCAGAGCATGATCTCATGACTTCAGCAGATGAAGTTCCAGGACTTTCTCAAACTCGTGCAACTAAAATATCTTCAGACTTAGTGGTTTTTGAAGCTGATACTGAGTATTTGAAGTTAGTCATGTTAATCATAATTTTCTCCCTTAAAATTACTCTAGATGTGACTTCTCTTAAGTAAAAATTAACATTTAATTGTCCTGACTTCTCTCTTCTAGAGTCTCTTATTTGGTTAATACTTTGCAAAAGCTACATACTTTCCGATCTGAAACCCAAATATAGAAGAACCTTTTGTCAGTAATACAGAAATGATAGGAACCATAGTGCTCAGAATGTTATCTAGACTTAGATCTAGTGGAGTGCTTATTAAAATATGCCCAGAGAACTTAGAAATAAATCATTTATGTGGGAAGTATGAGCCAATAAAAAATTACGTAAAGATTTGAAAGAAGGGACTTGATTTTGAATCTAGGTTTGCCTCTGACTTGCTCAAGACATTACAAGGGGTCCCTTCTTTTCTCCCTTCTGTTCAGCAGATCCTTTCTGGGTACCTACATGTTAGTTTGCATGTACTGTCCTACATGTTCTGGCTCTGTGATAGAAAGCAAGACTGTTATTATCTTAAGTTCTTGACCTAACATAGGAGACAAATATTAAATAGCCAAGTGATTAAATTGTAAATTCAGGTATTAAGTTCTATGAAGAAAAAAATAGACATATTACCTAGTGGGATATAGTTTGGCTTGATAGGAACATTTAAAACCAACAACAAAAAGGATATTAGGAATCATCCAAGCAAGGAAAACAGCATGTGCAAAGGTCCCAAAACTTTCAGTTCTTTTAAGAAACTGAACGACTAGTGTAACTGGAGTGTAGTAGGCATGAAGGAGGGAGGCAGGAGGACCAGATAAACAAGTCCTGATAGACCACATCGAATGAGTGCAGTTTCTGTTCTAAGTACCATTGGAAGCCAGTGAAGGGCTTTACGTAGGAGGGTGACTTTTTACATGATCACCGCGGATGTTCTATGAAGAAAGGAATGGGGGTGCAAAAATGGGAGTGGACTTAGAGAGCTCCTGGTTAGAAACAAACCTGAGCAGATACAGAAAACTGCACAGCTGGAAACAGAGTCTCGAGGGAAGGTAGACAGAACTGACTGATCTGGACGTGGGGGTTGAGGAGAGAGCAGGTCCCGAATGATCCTGAGTTTCTCACTTACCAGTTGGATATGTGGGAAACATCATTTATGAAGTGGAAAGAGGGTGCAGAGCAAAACCAGGACATGGACTCAATGACTGTTTAAACATGTTCATTTTCATACTTCTGCAGACAAGGAGAAATGTCTGGTGGGCTATTAAATACAAACCTGTGCTCCAGAAGACAGGCCAGCACAGTAGATGTTGTCCCCAGAATAGACAGAATTACCTGAGAGCCCATGTCTTGAGGACTTCCAACTTTAGAAAGGTAATCAGGCAAACAGATGTCCCAAAATCCAAGGAAATAAACTACATCAGTCCCCCTCCCTTACTGTTCATATCACTATCTATCGTTTTAATTGATTACAACAGCCATAGCCAAAGTTATGAAATGGAAAGTTCAAGAACTAAATCACCCATGTTTTAAATTGTTCACTGTTGTAGGTACTAAGATGGAATCTTAGAGTCCTGCTCCATCCTGCCCTGGATGTGAATCATCCCTTTGTCTAATGTATCCACTTGTAGCTTTTATTATGGTGTATTCTTGCAGCTGTCCTATCTTATTATTAGTTATTCTATTAGTTTCTTACTGTCCCTAACTAATAATTTAAACTTTATCATACATATACAAAGGATTGTATGTGTATGAAAAATGTATGTACAGTATTTTGTACTAGACAAGATTCCAGGTGTCCAGTGACAGTCTTGGAATACATGCCTCAGGGTAGGATGAGGAGGACTATAGTGTTTCAAAGAGGAAATAAGAGATTTTCTTAGAGGAAAAAAACTAAGATATCCTGTTGTAAGGAGGTTACTTGTTTGTTCCCGACTGCTCAGCCCCAAAATAATCACAAGGAAAACCATATTATTACAATACTGTTTGACCAATAGCTTAAGCATATTTCTGGCTACCTCATATCTTAAATTAACCCATCTCCATTAATCTTTGTATTGCCACGTGACTGTGGCTTACCCGGTAAAGTTCCAGAAGCTGTCTCTGGTGGGGCTACATGGCTTCTTACTCTGCCGTCTTTCTCCCAACATTCAGTATAGTTTTCCTCGCCTAGTTCAACTCTGCCCTATCAACAGGCCAAGGCAGTTTCTTTATTCACCAATGGTATTCACAGCAAACAGAAGGGAATCCCACATCAGTAACCTTTGAACTTGGTAACAGAAAGTCAGTATTTTACCTGTTTTTATTGCAACTAAAAACACATAAAGACATATACATTTAACTTTTAGATAAAGAACTGGTATATTTAATTTTGCCCTGTCTTAAAGTATATCTTTAACTGAACTAAAGGGATTTGGCTTGTTGGGGAAGGGATAGATCCACACAGATGGGAAAATCTAAAGATGAGAAAAATAGCAAAACTCTTGTAAACTGGAAAAGAAACAGAGTTAACTGGCTTAGTACACTCAACACCAGCGGAGGACCAACCCAGGTTACACTGCAGTAATGTGTCACAAGCTTTGTTGTACATCACAGTCACAAAGAGAACTTGTTAAAACCCAAAGTACTGATCCCACCCTCAGAAGTTCTAATAAGAGAGGCTTGGGATAGGGCAGAGCATGAATGAATGTATGTACTCTGAGACAGTCTTGCTACCGTATAGCCCTGGCTGGTCTGGAACTCACTATGTACACCAGGCTAGCTTCACATTCACTGAGATACACTTGCCTCTTATCTCCTGAATGCTGCTATTAAAGGTTTGCTCCACTATGTCTGACCAGCATTTGCATTTTTTTGTTTGTTTGTTTGAGACAGGATTTTTCTGTGTCACAGTCCTCACTGTCCTAGAACTAGCTCTTGTAGACCAGGCTGGCCTCGAATTCCCAAGTGCTGGGATTAAAGGTGTGTGCCACCACTGCCTGACCAGCATTTGCTTTTATTGGAACCCAGGGAATCCCGATGCTGCCCCTACAGGACCCAATATAAGACTACTGCACTAGAGCATCCTAAATAGGCCAGACTGGACCATGTCAGATGCCTCAAAGCATGTATGTATAAAGAAGGCTAAAATAAGGAAAGCTAATGAAAAACCTGTTTTAAAAACCAGTTATAATCATATAATTAGTATGCTGAGATAAGATCCTGTATCTGGAAAAGAAGAGGTTGTTCTGCAAAAGAAATTCAGGGTAAGCCGGGCGGTGGTGGCGCACTCCTTTAATCCCAGCACTCGGGAGGCAGAGGCAGATGGATCTCTGTGAGTTCGAGGCCAGCCTAGTCTACAAGAGCTAGTTCCAGGACAGGCTCCAAAGCTACAGAGAAGCCCTGTCTCGAAAAAAAACAAAACAAAAAGAAAAAAAAGAAATTCAGGGTAAAGGAGGAAAAAACTGTTGAACAATAAAAGCCTAAAAGGAACTTAAAAACAAACAAAACTCCAAAAACTCATACAAAATTTAGAAAATGAGGGACAGGCATGGTGGTGCAGTGCTTGGGAGGCAGAGGCAGGCAGATCTCTGAGTTGAAGGCCACCTTGATCTATATAGTGAGTTCCAGGTCAGCCAGGGATACATAGTAAGACCCTGTCTCCAAAAAGGAAAATGAGTCATTATTCTACTCTCCAATAACAGAATAAAATCAATAGGCGAGAAAAGAAAGAGTATGTATGTTAATATACATGCATACATACATTCAGCACTTGTGTGGTTGTCCCCCACTTGTCCATGGGAATGTGTTCCAAGATTCCTAGTAGATGCCTGGAATCCTGGAATCACAAATTTCAAACCCTAATGTATATTGTCTTATGTTGCCATAACTGAATACTACAAATTAGGTAATTTATAAAGCAGAAAAGTTTATTCAGAATACTTGTGTTTCTGAAGACTAGGAGATTTAAAATCTAGAGGCCACATTTGTTGTGTTTTTTTTTTCATAGTCTCAAAGCAGTATTGAGTCACATGGTAAGGAAGATGTTCCTCATTCAGATCTCTTCTTGCAATAAAAGAAAGGCCACAGTCCTATTAAACTGAGGCCTTCCGCTTAGGGCCTCTCTTAACATTACCTCCCAATGATCAGTGTTGATTTCCAACATCTCAATACCTTGTAACAGAGATGAAGCACCCATATGAGTTGTGGAGACATGCACGCTCTTAACAAGCACACACCATACTATTCCTATGCCATTGGTTACAACATATTTTCTAAATACTATTTTTTTGTTCCTCTCTTCAGGGATTGTTATCTGTATTCAAAAACATAAGCTAAGCTAATGTTTACCCTTTGTGTGGAACTCATACTCACTGTATGGAATTCTTCAATGTCATTTTATGTTCAGCTCTTTCTGAATGTTTTCCTGAATACTGTTGCAGTATTCAGATACTGTAGTTATTAACTCACTATAACCATAGAATTACTAAGTTGAGCAAAACTTGTCACCCCTCTTTTGTATGCAAAGACACCATTTTATATAAGGTACTTGAACACACACAGATTTTGATACCCACAGGGGTTTCTGGAACCATCCCCATATAAATGGAAAGATGACATATATACTATTTTGCATAAAATTTTAGAATACTTTGATTCAGTTGTATCAGGATAGAAATTTAGCTCACAGTTATGTTTTGTAGGATGTGCATTTCAAGTTTGATTGCTTACATTTTTTAAGTTAATCTTCCTTCCCTTTCTCCCAGGTGGATACATCGCAAATAGCCTAGCAATTATGACAGATGCTCTTCATATGCTAACCGACCTTAGTGCCATCATACTCACTTTGCTTGCTTTGTGGCTGTCCTCAAAGTCACCAACCAGAAGATTCACCTTTGGATTTCATCGCCTAGGTATGTAACATAAGTTTCTTTTGGCTTATGCTATTGTAATGTAAAGCTACAATGAACTATGACTCCAATTAACTGAAATCTTTAAGATGATAGTAGATTTGAGCAAAGCAAATGAAAATAAATAATGAGACTTATTCACAAAACTGTCTCCATGGAACATCCCACTCAGGCCTCCCTACACAGTACAGGATTATGCGGTTAGCTACTCATGTCTCCGTGTCTAAAGATGCCAGCATAAGGAGGCTTAGTTCCAGTTTATTGAACCTAGCAGAACCATCTGGGTAACTCTCTAATAAGCATTTGCTGCTGCTTTGTATTTTAAGAATTGCAACTGAAGCCATATTTTAAGCATTTTCATCATATATACAAAATATGGTATGTAACTGACCTTGCATTATATCAATGTAATTTTGCAAATATATTCATAATATTTAATTTAGAAGGGTTTAAATCTGTATTTTAATTATTACCTACATAGCTCTGGTTCTTACTATTGCTGAGGTTTTAAACTTGTTACTTACTCAGAAACTACATAAAATAACTGTACTATTATATGAAGGACCATATCAATGGGTATTTGCATAGAAGCCCCCAAATTAAGGTTTTTCTGCTTTGAAAAGCTCAGCGCTTGATAATTCACATTAAAGAATTGAGATTAAAAATAACATTCTTTGGCTTTTTTGGATAAAGAACTAAACACTGGCTATTGTATTGAGATTCTTCATAAGGAAACAAAATATAGGACTGGAGTTATTAGAAATTAGCACTGTATCAATGAACCAGATCAGTTGTTTTCTGATAGTAGTAAACATCAATATGATTTAATGTAGTTGATTTTTTTAACTCTTTGCTCTTTGGGGGTCCCACCACCCAGCTCCCAAATAATTACATGGAGATTTATTCTTTCTTATGAATGCCCCGTCTTAGCTTAGCTTATTTCTAGCCAGCTTTTTTTAACTTAAATTATTTCGTCTACCTTTTGCCTCTGGGTTTTTACCTTTCTCTATTTCTCTATATCTGTTCTTGCCTTTTTACTCCATATCTTCCTGTGTGGCTTAGTGGCTAGCCCCCAGTGTCCTCTTTTCTCTTTTTCTCCTTTTTATTCTCTCTGCCTGGCAGTCCCACCTATCCCCCTCCTGGCTAGCTATTGGCCTTTCAGCTCTTTATTAGAACAGTTAGGTCTAATAACTTCACAGAGTTAAACAAACACAACATAAGAGACTGCAACATATCTTTGCATCATCAACAAGTATTCCACAGCATAAACAAATGTAGCACATCTTTAACTAATACTCTACAGCAGTTTAATTGTAGTTGTCATCTTAGTTCTGTGGTGTAGATGTTTTCTACTATTAGAGATCACATTTTCTGGAGCTGGAGAGGTCTCTGTTAAGAGCACATACTGCTCTTTTTAAATTTTATTTTATTTATTTTAAATAAAAGTTGTGGGCCATCATATGGATACTGGGAATTGAACCCAGGTCCTCTGAAAGAGCGGCCAGATCTCTTCATTGCTGTGCTATTGCTCCAAACCTACCTTGCTAAGATTCAGTTCCCAACTAACAGCTGCTTGTAACTTCAGCCCCACGGTGGTCAGCTGCCTCTGATCTTAGCAGTCCTCTGCACTCATACATATAACCATGTACAGACACACACAATTACGGTCTGTTGATTATAGCCTTTTTTTTTTTTTGATTTTTCAAGACAAGGTTTCTTTGTGTAGTCCTAGACTGTCCTGTAACTTGCTTTGTAGAGCAGGCTGGCCTTTAACTCAGAGATTTGCCTGCCTCTGCTTCCTGAGTGCTGGGATTAAAGGCATGGGTTACCACTGCCCAGCTGATTATAACCTTTTAATTGGTATTTTCAAACACCCATGAGAAGAAGCATAGAAACCAATAGCTTTGTTCAAATCTTGGCTGTCTCACTTCCTACCAGGCTGACCTTAGGCAAGTTCCGCAACATCTGTGTGCCTCCATTTTCTATTTGTAAAGGATGCTAATGATAGTGTCTCCCACATAGAGTTATTAAGGGCAATAAGTGCCTCACTTTTTAGACCGCACTTAGGACAGTGCCCAGCACTTAAAGGAATCACCATTCTTCATTTAGTCAGCTTCATTTCTTCTCTGAAAAAATTAGAATGAATTCAAGGCTGCTGTGTAGCGTGTATGCATGTGTGCAGAAAAGCCAGTAAAGCTCTTTGGAATATCCAGTCTTGAAAATGTTTGGCTAATTTTTAATCATAATTTGTTAAGAATCTACATTCTGTGATAAGACAGAATTTGTGCTTCTTTGTAGAAAAGAAATGCTGAGGACCAGTGGGAATGGGTGGGAGAGCTGTTACCCTCTTCTCTTGGAGCTGTCACCACAGTCTCTTACAGTGCCACAGTTTTCCTCTTCCTTCGTGTAAAGCTGTGGACGGTGTGAAATCATTCTGGGTTTTCTTTATGTACAGTGAGTTACAGCAGCAGGTTTATGTGGAGAGAGAGAGGGAGGACCAAAGCCTTGTTTCTAAATGTCTGGATTTATTTAATGTGAGCATGTCTCTTTACTCTAAGCTAATAAAACTCAGGATTTAATGAAACCACAACGCTGAAAGAAATCTCAAATCCTCAGGAGGAAAAAGATTCTCTTCCAAGGGGGCCATTCTGAAGACTGTTGTCCCCATCTACCTGCTTCCTTTCCGGCTCTCTATGAATTACCTTAGGGATTGTCCTTGTTTATATGGCCTTTCCTCCAACTCTTCAGGGATTGCACTGATATGAAGACTGTACTAAGCAGAGCTGTTTGAGTAGGGGGGCAGGAAGAGTTTGTACATGATATGATCGCTTAAGTCCTCAGCCAATATCAATGGCAAGATGATAGGACAGGTATTGTTCAAAATGTTTGCTGAGCAGAGATCACGGTCAGAGCCAGGCAGATGTGTCTTGAGAAGCATTTGGCTACAGCACTAATTCTATATAGTTTGTTGTTTTATCCCCTGATGCTAGAGGAATAGAAATAATTCAATTAAAAATTTCCTTTGTACAAGCATCCAAAAAAAAAGCCCTTTACCTAGTTGTGATTCATTTTTAGCAGCTTCCTCCTACCTATGACAAAATCCATGCCTTTTATTATTCACATCTTACTGCATTTTTAATCACATCCTATGAACTCTTAGAGGAAAAGAACTAGCAAGTTCTAGAACTTGCTAGAAATGAGAATTTAAATTGAGGCATAAGAAAGACATGAATGAAGTGGTCAACATTGGTACTGTAGGTGTGGTATGCAGAGTGATAAACTTATTGTAAGCTGTGTGGCCAGAGACCAACCCAAAACAAGAAAGAGACATCTGGAGTGAGTCATAGTCTAATTGAACTTTTCCTTTTCTCTGGGAAGTTACTTAACCTGTCTTTGTATCTTAGTTAGAGTTTCTATTTCTATGAAGAAACACCATGGACACAGCAACTATTATAAAGGTAAAACATTTAATTGGGTTGGTTTACATTTTCAGAAGTTTTGTCCATTGTCATCATGGTGTGACATGGTGGTGTGCAGGCAGACATGGTCCTGGAGAAGTAGCCAAGTGTCCTACATCTTGACTTGCAGGCAACAGGAAGAGGTCTGAGACACTGAGTTTGATTTGAGCATTTATGAGACCTCAAAGCCTTCCTCTAACAAAGCCACACCTAATAGTGCCATTCCCCTTGGGGACTATTTTCTTTCAAACCACCACATTCCACTCCCTGCCCCCAAAGGCTTGTAGCCATATCATAACACAAAAAGGCCTTCAGATCAACTTCAAAAGCCCCCAAAGTATATCACAGTCTCAACCATGTTTTAAAGTCCAAAGTTTAAAGTCTTTTTTTTCTTAACTATAATCCCCTATAAAATCAAAATCAAAAAACAGTTCCCATTTAATGGCACAGGATATACATTACCATTCCAAAACATGGGGAAGGGAGCATAGTGAGGAAATATTGGATCAAAGCAAGACTGAAACCAGCTGGGCAAACTCTAGATGATGTGGGATTCCCCTCTTTATGCTGTAAATATCATTGGTTAATAAAGGAACTGCTTTGGGCCTATAGCAGAGCTATAGGGGAACAGAGCTAGGCGGGGAAAACTAACTGGATGCTGGGAGGAGGAAGGCAGCATCAGAGAGAAGCCACATAACCCCACCAGAGACAGACACCGAACTTTAGCTGGTAAGCCACAGCCATGTGGAGGTACACAGATTAATAGAAATGGGTTAAATTAATATGTGAGAGTTAGCCAATAAGAAGCTAGAGCTAGCTAATGGGCCAAGCAGTGATTTAATTAATACAGTTTCTGTGTGATTATTTCGAGGCTAAACGGCCAGGAACTACCTAGTGGTGTCCTCCAACATCCAGACTCTACATCTCCTTGTCAAAATGCTCTTCAGATCTCCAATTCCTTTCAGCTTTGTTGTCTGCAACATACTTCTTTCTCTCGAGTTGGTTCTATTTCCTGTTAGCAGCTCTTCTCTAACATCTTGAGGCCTCCAAGACAGTCCAACTTCAATTTCACAGCTTCACACAATGACTTCTCTGGGCCTCCAGTTCAGTGACACCCCTGACAGATGCTTGGCCTCGGTGGCTTTCTTTAGTCACAGTTAGGTTTTATAACCCTTTCTTTAGTCCTTGACTCTAAGGTCAGAACCATACGGCCAAAGCTACAAAGTTCTGCTTGCTGGAGCTGGAGCATGGCCCCCATGTTCAATTACATCTTCACCAGCTTTCTGTTTTTCACCTCCACTGCCTAAGCTTAACTGTCCTGAAACTGGATCTGTAGACTAGGCTGTCCTCAAACTCAGAGATCTGCCTGCCTCTGCTTCTCGCTAGTGCTGGAATTAAAGGTGTGTGCCACTACTGCCAGGCTCTAAGCTTTTCTTTAATTCCTTTTCACAAGTTGGAAGCTTAGCTGGGTGGGATCCTTCCCTGAGGTCACCACTCCCTTTATTCCATTTCTTAATCAGTTTATCTCCTTGAACACAGAATTTA